AAAATTTTTAGTATTGGGATGTGGATACCATGATAAATCTTTCTCATTGTATTAAACAGCATACCTTAGTTGTCCATGCTACGCCAATATTGACGTCGTTATCTCCAGATGGGTTGCCAGTTATCCCTAGCTAACTAGTCCCCACTAATTTTATGACGTGGTCTAATTGATCTAAATAATTGTAGTCATCCTTATAACTAATTAACACATGTTTGAAATAATTGTTTTACCGTCTAATCTGTGTAGATCACATATTTTACAATACTCAATAAAAGAAGAGTCACCTTAATATTAAAAGTCATGCTCCTCTTTAATGATTATATACAGGCGAACTGCACATCACATTTTTGTATAAGTTTTTATGGAAAAAAAAAAATTCAAACAAACAAACAAACAAATGTGGTCAGATATGCAAGTGAAAGTAGAGGGATGGGTTCCAAGTTGCTGGAGTTGAGAGAGACTTGTCCTCCTGGGCCTGCCTACCAATCGGGTTGAATGACTGGATGAAAATTTTAACGTCTCCAAAACACGCCCAAAAAAAAAAAAAAGAAGAAGAGGAGCTGCAAAAGATGCAGTATCTGATAGAATAAAATCATGATTGGTATAGTTAGTGATTAGAAAAGAATAATTATGAAATTCCATATCCTTAAGAAAAGTCTAACTTTCATCGCCATTCCTCGTATAATTTTTTTCCTCCAGCATTCTTCGATGTTCTTCCCTCTGTATATAAGAATCACCCATCTGAGGAGGTTCCATGGGAGCTAAGTATCAGACCAATTCCTATTTGGAGCTTCCTTCAGCCGAAGAGTAACACCAGAAAGCAGGGAAGGAAAATTATGGCTAGCTAAGCTACAAAATCTACAAACCAAATATGATGGCCACGGAAATTCATGTGGTCAGACGCTACAAGAACCCCCGATAATCATATGGTTATAACGTGGACATCTTCTCCATAGTATTGCACCCTATAAAAAGTGTCATCACGGAGTGCACCTACAGGGAAAAGGCTGCGCTTTCACATCTCAGGGTGTGTGCGCTGCAAGAACTCTTCATTCTGCACCAGAAAGGACTAAATCTGTGCAAAAAGGAGTTCATTCCAAGTGTCTGGAACACCAGGCAAACACCAATGCAAGCAATCTTGGACTCCTGGTGTGGCTGTAATACTGAATCGAGATATATGCCCCTCATCTCTCACCTGTGATAGTGCTGTTACGTCCAGAAGATTAACCCCTGTCCCCCTAACTGCACTAGCGGCAACATAATCGCTAGATTCTTCTTGTAGTACTTCTTTTCCTATAGACATGGGAGTCGTGCTGTCACAGCTGCCTCCAGTGTTCCAGTCCCCATTCATAAAGTGCCTAGGAGAAATGCTACGGTAGAAGGCTTTCAAGCGTGGATGTTTTGGTAGCTGCGAGTTTACCCACTTAACAGTACTGTGAACTGTGAAGTTCTTGGCACCTCCCATACCTGCTACCTTTTTATTGGTGTTGGGAACTCCCCCAACATACATGACCCACCGGTTACCTCTAAGTTTCCCTCGATTCCAATGGTGTCCTGTGTTGAGAACCAGGACATCAATTTTGTGAAGAAATTGGTGTAAAAATGCTGGGGGTCGATCAAGATGCATGGCATATTCAGTGAGTGGGTCAGTAACATTAAGAGGCTCCAAATCACAAAGGCAGGAAGACCAGTAGAAGAGGATAGTAGTATTGGTGCTTGGAAAACGATAAGCCCACCCATTAGGACGTTTACTACCAGGTCCTATGATAAAACCATACTCTTGTCCCACATCTCTGACATCAGTCCTCTTCTTACCACCTGTGATCATGCACATTAGAGACAGGAACTGCTGTCTACCCAATGAATCACCAACAAAAGCCAGAGTTTTATCTTGCATCCTGAACAACACAGGTCCACAAGAAATTATTTAATGCCTAAAAATAATATTAATGGTAGAAAGTAAAAGCGAGCAAGCCACTTGAGAAAACTACAACAGAAGGAGATGGAAAATGCATACAAAGCAGAAGGTCAAATGCCAATTCAATAACAAAACTTGGACCATACTTCTGGGGGTTAAGAACGATTCATGCCACTTGTGAGTTGTGACCACTAGAGTTCAGTTCATTCAAGGCCAGAGCAAAAGATTTTACTTTTCGACAAAGATTAGAACTGCACATCTTGGCCCATTCATCACATGGCAAAACTAAGAGCAGAAGAAGAAAGCATCCACTATATCACATGGCTTTCTTGTATAGAAAAAATTACAAAATCTAAAGGCTGAAGTTAAATGTTATCTCTAAATCATGAACAAACATCTAACTTGGATAAATTACATGCAAACAGACTAAGTGAAGATAGATAGAAAGATACCAAAAGGTAGTGAAACCTTGTGGACTATTACAATAAAAAACAAACCTACTGTTTACAAAAATGAAAGCAGAGTATAGTTAAGCTGGTAAGCATTGGGCTCTCAACTTAATAGTAGACACAGGATTCACTGAACCAATTTAGAAAAAATATTCAAGGACAAGAGATAACAGTACCTTTCCAAGAACTTAGAACCTTCAAATTCTTCCATTTGACAATCTCTTGGTTGCCACCTCAGCTTTTCAAAAGCAAAATCTTGACGCTGCATCAATCGGCAAGCCCACATTGGCGCTAACCATTGTTTGCATTTAGACCCAGAATATAAAGGTCGTCTATCATCTACAACCCATTTTCCGTTGGCATAGTTACAGGCTGAGCAAGGGTCAGATAAGATTACAATCAGTAATAATTAATATTATCATAACACAGAACTCACATATCCACAATATGAAAGGTCAAATAAGAAAGGAAATTATTGCTACAAGTAGCACTTGCCTCCAGCTACTGAATCACTAGAAGGAGATGGGTGGGTGATAAATGTGATTACAACCTTACATCCGTTATTATGCCTATAAAACCAAGGTGCTAAGCTGTCAAGAGATAGCAATCTTTTAATCTAGCACCATTCTCAATGTCTCTCTCCTTTTCTTTTTTAGCCAAAACATTGAATAATCAAGCACTATTACTCTATCAAGAATCAAAAGTTGTGTGTTTTACCCTCAAGCTGCTGCTATCACAGCACCAAAATATTTTTTTCGCTCGAGTTTTGAGTGAAATGTTTTTTAAAAAAAGGACAGGACAACAAGAAGCAAAGTTGACAACTGTTGCCTTGATTTCTAAAGTTTGCATCAAAGGATCTAATCAACAATAAAATTCTATAGTCAGAATATGCTAAGTCTCATAAATGAATTATTCTAGAGGATCATATGAATGTCATTTTCCCTAAGCATAACAGACGCTACCAAATAATCCCAGCAGATTCTCAACATTAAAAATCCATATAAGTTAAATGCTAGCAATTGCAAGAATTCTGTAGATAAATACAAATAACTGAAATGTATAAGCATTAATTATTCTACCTGGATTCTCAACCCTTTTGTCTTCTTTTTTCGAATTACTCTCTTCAAAGATTATCCTGTCTGTTACTTCTTTGTCTTTCAGACTCAATTCACTTTCAGCACTGCCATTTTTTACATCTTCCAGACCATGTTTATGTTTTGCTTCCTGTTCTGCTACAACCAGAGGGGATACAGGGCGTAAGGGAGGTTTAGCTTCAGGATCCAGAAACACTGCAAAAGTTGTAAAAAAAAATAAAGAGTAAGTGTGTTTGAATGCAAGAAAGTATACAACATAGTAAAAACATAGGAAGTTATGGAATGTAAATATCCATCCTAAAACCAATCAGCTTTAGGTAGAGTTGTGCACAATGTATTTAAGTACATAGGTTTCCCCTTAACTCACCAAAGTGGGATTAACTGCTTTAGTAATCACTAGTTCTGTTGATCTAATGATCTCACAATATGACAGATTAGGAACAATACAATGGAAAAAAAAAAATCAAATCTGCAAAGAATGCAAACTAGCTAGAATTGTTCGTTATGAAACTGAGTAAAGAGAAAATACAAAATTTTGAAAGTGGCAGATTTGCTATGAGCCACAAGAATGTAACTGAAAGGCCATGCATGACTCTAATTACTTGCTAAAAACTGGATTCAGCATTACAAGTTATTTTAAAACCTTAAGCACTGTAATATCTCGATCATAAGAACAGAAAGAACTGCTCACCCTTCTTACTAGGAACTGGTACTAAATAAGAAGAGCCTTTTGGAGGATCCTCTGGAGTCACTTCATCCAAGTGGTTTGCCTCCTTGAATATGGCATCTTTCAGTGGAAAATCGCTAGTATTTTTGGTCAGATGTGTTCTTTCTTCTGATGGCATCATTATAACATCTGCACCACATATTATGAAATAGAAAAGGGAAAGGAAACTAAGCTTGAGCTTAAAAGTAGCAAAATCAATGTCTAGAATACATTGAATTCAGATAATTGTCATTTTATCTTAAAAAGAACTACACAAAGCATTTTCCCAGGAGAAAGATGACATTATTTAAGTGGCTTTGAGACTTGCCAACAAACACATTGTTCTAAGATAAAGCATAAAAAACAATACTCTCATAAAAAAGCAGACTGATAACAGAGATGATAGTGCATCTTTTATGACCTTTAGCAACTCCTTAAACAAACTGAATAAATTAAGAAATTCACAGCAAGAATCAAGGAAATTAAAAAAAATACAGACAATAAAAGTAGCATATGAAAGGAACTTTTGGACAAACCTGGAGAGAGTTGAAACAACTGACTTTTAGGTGGTAGCAATGACGTTAGAAGCGGATTTTTGTCCCATGCCCAGAAAAGAATGGTTGTACACACGAGAAAAATGAGCACAAGAGGCAACTCTTTACCCTTTAATTTTAATCTGAGTTGGGCCCCTTTCATCCTAAATAGACATGAGCATACTCGTCAAAATCTTCATTCAAGGCACTAATTCATTCAGAACATATATATGGCAGGATCTACCCACACTAATGTGACAATTCTTAACTCTTACACCAGTCCATAATTTTCAGTAAAACTCATATTTTCAAAAACAAACAATTGACTTAAATGTTATATTCATATACTTTAGATTCCCTTGTTTTGTGATCCAAACTGCACAACACTTTTTCCTATAAATTATAAAAACTTCATTTTATATAATCAATGAAATTGTTAAATATATTCAATTAATCTAAAATATAGCATACATGATCTACATAAATAGAACATCAATCCAACAGGTTAGTTATCCAAAATAAAAGATTTAGCAGCCGAGACATTCTGAATCCATATCAAGCTGGCAATATTTTGCCCCAACCATAAATATAAACTTCATGCAACACAATGATTCACAAAACACGACGCCATGCATTTACAAAATCCACATTACTGAATTAAAATTGACTCCACTGCATCGCCTTAAACTCCAGAAATCCTCACAGCATCAAAATCACTTCATAGGAGATTTTCCTTAACCTCTATCACTCATAAATCCACACATATCTCTTCACACATTCAGTAACCAACTAATCATAATTAAGCCTACAAATTCCCTACCAAATCTACACTGGCCACATCTATCCGCAATACAAAACGAAAGACAAAAGAAAAAAAAAAAATCGCCATTGAAGTCCCAGTCAGGAATTAACAAAACAGAACAAGAAATAAGTAACAAAACGAAAGGAATTCATGATTACGACATTGCGATTCTGATCCAAAAACTGATATAGAGCAGGTATCAGCAGGTAAATTAATATAAAAAATAAAATAAAATTCAAGAAAGCTCAGATTGAGAGAGAGAGAGAGCATCAGGGAAGAGAATTACCTGAAGCGCATGATTGAAGAAAAATGGATTGTTTCCGGAACAAGAAACTGTGCTGAGGGAATGATTTTTCTATATTGAAAGAGGAATTCGAAGATTGGAGGAGAGAATAAAGGAGGAAAAAGCTTAAGGAAAAAGTGGAGTGCAACTGAAATTAGAAATAGAGAAGAAAATTAATATTTACGCGTCGGC